TTGAACCTCTTTTGGCCCGTGAGCCAGGAGGTTTGCCCACCTCTGTAAAAGAGCCTTTGATGGACTGATGTCACCTGTTAACTGTTTTCAACCCCTCTTAACTGTCATGAATCTTAATCAGGTGACCCCGACCCTGATCAGAATATCTACAAGAAAGTGTTTACTGGTTTTATTATAGCACGAACAATGACACACTCAGTGAAAACTCACTGAAAAACAACAACAACAAAAACTCCAGGTCATTTTGGGGCTCTGCTGATATTTTATAATTATCGATAGCCGTGACTTCAAATAAAAGAATAAATAAATCCGTACATCTATTAGCAGTTGCTATGTCAGTGACACTGATGTGAAAAAAAAAGCATAAACTTAACAACTACAGGTTGAAGCCCACACACACGAGCGAATGAGGGGGCAGAGGGGGACTGGAGCAGTTCTCCGGGGGGAACCGGCGTGACAAGCTCCTGAGGGATGATTTGAATGTCTGCATATTCCCAAAGCTTTCTAAAAAGGAGGAGTCCTTCCTCCACTCGGCGTGTGAAGCGTTTTCTGGAAGTTGCGGTAAAGGGTAATGAGTATACACTCATGCACTGTAACACCAGTAGGTGTGGGACTTAACCCTGTCTCCATGGCAATTGCTGCAAGGATGACAAATTTGCTGTTTCAATAACATTAAGACGGGAGGATCTTTTACACAGTGCGCCGTTGCAGATGGGAGAAAACAGAAGGGCTTTGACAGAGTTTGTGTTCGCAGTCTGCGGCTTCAGACTTTAAGTCAGCAAAGTACTTCAGTGGACTCGGCAAATCGTGAAATGTTTATTTGCAAGGCTACCTGCGCCGAACAGCTCATTCTCCTGAGGATGAGTCATCCACAGGCTACATGCGCTACATTTGAGGTGGGCTTTGGATAAGCTCCTGGAGGAGAATGTAGAGGGGGCAAAGAACACTGCTGAGCCATCACAGCTGTACTGATTTTCTGTCACATTGTGTCACAACTGGAGACATTACCTGGTAAAGGAAACGGTAAATCTCACCCATCCCCCACAATAACCACCGCGCGGGGTCCTGTCAACAGTCAGCTGGATATTGATAAAAGAGTGTTTGTTTGTAAAGCCAAGTGTAGTGTAACCCGGGCAGTGTGTAGCGTTGAGAGTGTTTTTTTTTTTTCTTGCGAAGAGCAGAAATAGTCCTTTCACTCACAGAAACATGAACCATCTGCACCTCTCTGACTCCTCTGTCTGTGTATGGAGAACGTACTTATAACGTCCTTGAGGGATGATGCCTTCGCTGACCTCCGTCAACTCCCTTTTTTTTTTCTTTCGGAAAATCAATCGCATTTATCTATTTTTTTTCATATCAGACCAAAGTGCGGTTGTTTAAAATGTTTGCATAGAGAACCAGGCGAAGCTCCCAGCTGCTGCTTTAAAAACAATCAATTTCACCACTAACAAGTGTTCTTTTTTTTTTCTCAGCTTATTAATCTCCTGATGTAATTTCTGCCCAATCAATTTTTGGCCATTAGTGAAAAAGTGTCAGTCACAAACCTCTAAGTCTTTCTTAAAAAGCCTTCAATCAAACACACTTCATCAAAAGCAATAGATCGGACCGGAGCGCGCTCAGAGCCGAGCCTCTCAGGCTGGAAAACAACCACACGGACGATCAACTGAGCGACTGATCAATGTTTCATTTCAACACTTGATTAAATATCTGTAAAGTTACGCAGGCCTACCTTAGTGAGCGTCGGTTTGCCTTTTCAGCAGAAGCGTCTTCCGGAAAACCAAGATAAGTGAGAATATTTGAAATTAATGTTCCTCGTTGTTACTTTCCGCAGTAGAATATTCTGGACACAAATACATGTGGTGCAGGCAACAATCTTCACAGGCCTGCTTTCCATACCAAATCCAGTGTGCATCCCAGGAATTTCCATAACCCCAATTTAAATATTTGCATCGGGCTCACGGGACAGGACCATAAGTCCAGGCAATGATTTCCACCTCCCTTTAATAACCGAGGGCTTTGAATTAAAAATGAACGCTTATCTTTGAAAAACAACAACAAACAAACACAATCCCTATAATGCCAAACTACGTAAAACGTAAAACAACCACATATATTCCCACCAATGCCGGGCTGTAACTTTAAAAAACTTATATCACGAGTATATATCTACATTTTTAAAGTTTTAAAGTTTTTCTAAAATGATAAATAATGGATTATTGCCAGTATTTTGGTGTCATTTGCTCACCTTCTCCCTGGGTGTTTAACATAACACCAGCAGCTTTCTGACATTTTCTATTAAAATGTTATTCAAGACTTTGCTGAATATGTATATGTATATATATATATGTGACTCCCTGTAAGTATGACGTCGTAGTGTGCCAGTTTAGGCAACGACACCGTCGAAACAACAAGACGAGGACAGGAATAGAGACGACTATCTGCTATCAATTTGCATCTTGCACTTTCGACGTCACCTGACATTGACATTCCTCTACTCATCTGGAAAATGTGACAAGTGTCACAAACCGAATATTTTTAATATATATTACTATAAAGTCATACATTTACATATTCAAGTCCAAGAAAAAAAAGGCTCATCAGCAACCCCTAAAGCATATGTGTCAAACATAAGGCCCCGGGGGCCAAATGTGGACCGCCAAGTCATTTTGTATGGCCCGTGGGAGCTCAAAAAGCATTTAACGAAGTCCATGCAGCAGAGTTTTTTACCTGATAAATTATGTTTTTGTTTTTTTTTATTACACAGCAATGAATCTACATCGATGCAGTCTTCCATTTACAACCGGCCCTTTGAGCGGAACTGTGTTGATAATGTTAAAGCTAGCCTCGGACAAAAAGGTTTGCATATGTGCACTACTTATACTGTAGGACACCAGTTTGTCTGGAAGACTCTAAAGTAAGCCAAAAAAAGCTGTAATGTTTGTATTATTATAATGAAGCATTGCGTTTAGCAACTTCAACTCCAGTGAATGAAATCTTGAGACCTTGGTGATAAAATAGATAGATGTCGAGAGAGAGAGAGAGAGAGAGAGAGAGAGGTCTTTCTTTTTCATTCTAATGTTTCTGTAATCTTCTACTCCGAAGCCCAAAACAATACAACTCCAAGGCTGCTCTTTGCGGTAGCTAATTAAATCTGAAACATTGTCATTTTTCAGCATGTTCACACCGACATTAGACAGAGTTAAGTATGCAGACCTATTCCGGCTGACATTTACATATCATTTTTAGGCTAACAGAGGTGAGACAAAGACCAACCGGCGGCGGCGACGGCGGCGGGGGTCAGTCCTCTGCGGCTCGTTTTACTCTGACATATAGCTTTAAGATATCGGGTCATTTAATTAGACAGGGGACAAAAAGTTCACAGCTGTGACGTGGCCGCCCCGTGGGAGTCAGCAACATTGTGAGGAATCACGTGGTCGTATTCCCGTTTGATCAGCGGGAGCACAGTTCCTGCTCTATCACATTGAAGTTTCAGAAAAAAAACAATGCGAGTTCCTCCATGTTGATGCTTTCTTTACTAATAATAAGATTATAAAACGTCTTGTACAAAAAATAAAGAGTTTTATTTGTACTGTCGAGGTTCAAAAATCGTTTGACAGTCGTGCATTTTAAGGTTAAGCAGAGTTTCATTAAGAACTGCCTTGCCTCGGGGGCGAACTGCCATGAAATTCAGTGTGATCTTGGTTTAACATCACACAAATGGAGTTAACAACTTTGTGACGCAAAAGCAAGGAGGTGTTTCTTTCTTCTTTTTTTTTTGATTATTATTATCAATACAACACGTAGCATGTAATGCCTCTCATGAAGGCAAAGATAAAACAATGGGTTCGACATGATCTGAGATTCTACCTGCAGTTGCTAAGCAACACCCACCTCCAACCTCTCCGTCTGCCCCATTGGTCAGCTGGAAAAACGCACACAGCACCCAATTGGCTGGGAGAAAGTTAATAAACTTTAGCCAAGACCTGCCTCCCTGTGTGCGCACACACACACACACCCTCACCCTTCCTCCTTCTCCTCTCCTTTCTCACACACATACACACACAATGAAGATTCTTGTGAATGAGAGCATGAGAGGGTGTCAGTGCTTGCGCAGTACAGTGCTGATATATGCATTGAGCTCCTGAGCTAAAAATAAAGATCACACTGAATGCTGTGCCACTGAAAGTTGCAAGACTGAAATGAAAGTGACAAGTCTAGTTCTCTCCAGACCCAGCCATGAGGTCCCACCCTCAACGCCACACAGACGGCTTTCGGTTTTTTTTTTTACATGTTTGTTTTTAGCAGAAGTTCCAATAAAAGCATCTTCGCAACTATTCCTTCTCCACAATGATTCCTGCAGCACTATTCTTTGTTTTTTACCCTTTGCTAAACAGTGTGTCAGCAGGACATACCACAGAGCCATAACAGAGAACGATGGCTGTGTTTACGTCTTGTGTTAGCTGAATGAAGCTAAGTTAACTGTTTTTACAGCAAAAAACAAGCAAACAAACAAAACAAAATTAACGTTTACACTATTGTCATCAGGTCCTAAAAAAAGTTAAAAAAAAAAAAATCGAACTGTGTCATAAGGATCCTCCACACATGGAGATGGACAAGGTATCTATGTCATAGCTACTTAGGTAGTGGTTCTCAAAATAAGGGGTGTGTGACTACTAAAGGGAGGCCAAATGAATTACATTTCTTTTTTTCAACTGTACCACCAAAGGAACACCATCCAGGGATCTGAAATTGAGTTTCCTTTTTGCTTTACACGAAGAGCAGTTTTGTTAGACTCGAGTGTTTTAAAATAAAGTTAAGCAAAGTTTTGAAGTTATAGCTACAAATGATGTCGGAGAACGCCGCAGGAAAAGTTAGGGAACCACTGAACAAATGTAAGAGAACCTGTAGTTTGCAGATATATTTGTGACTTTTTTGATAAAGAATTTTTTTTTAAATTACAGGACATTTGAAGTTAGTATAACACAAATACAACAAACAAATTTTGCATTTTAAAACTAGTTTTATTAAGGGGTTTCTAACAACTATGTTGTTAACTGTACAGAAGAAACAGGATAAAAGCACAAATCTGCTCAGTTTTCAACAGATTCAATTTTTTTCCAATTTGAACCATGTCCAGTCTGCCCCTGATAATAGCTGCCCAGGGAAATACGGTCACAGACCACACTGATCACGACTGCAGGGCAATGAAGGTTGAACAGCAGGCACTGGGAGGAATTTCTCTTTGTGTTGACTGGAGTATTTGGGGTAAAAAAAAAAAAAAAAAAGAGTAGTTAAGTCTGAAGACATTAAAAGTCAGTTTTGCAGCTATGAGGAATTATCAGTTCACAATTATTAGACAACATTTATGTACAATCAAGTAAATTTTACTACGGTGTGATCCTGAACATAAATGTAGCAGTAGTAAGTGGTAGTACACAACTAAGACAATGTTTTTTGCTTGTTAAAGTGAGAGAAAGCGAGAGATGAGAGTGGAGAGAGATGTTGCTGCTTTACATCCTCTTGGCCACTCGTTTTATCTGCTGGGACGTTTTATAGAAAATGGACTTGGATTTTGGAGGTGCCAGCAAGTTTAGATTCCCCTCTGAAATGCTCCTCATAACTCTGCGAGGTTTGTTCTCCTCCGAACCTGAGAAACATAAAACACAGAACATGGACACTGATACTGTTATACACTTCATACTTGTGATTGTGTCAATCACCCTATAGATCTACAAAAGACACACCGCAGTAGTTTACGGTGCTCGGTCAACACCGGAGTGCAACCCCCCCACTTCAACCACCAGGCTACGAGCTGCCCCACAGGACAGATTAACATCTAGAAAGGTCGTCTGAGATATTTAAATTACAACACCTGGGCTAGCACTTCCATTAGAAGGCATTCCACAGGATTTTGTCCAGAAACCCTAGCACTTCCATTAGAAGGCATTCCACAGTATTTTGTCCAGAAACCCTTGGTCTTAGACTGGTCACTGCTTCACGTTTGGCTGTAAAGCTCCGCAGCAAAAGTCGGGACTTATTGCTCAGTGGTGTCAGTAACAACTACATCAAGGGAACACCTGACGCCAGGCACAAATGACACAGCAAAGCAAACTCCTGCCCACTGTACAGTAACCCACGGACAGTTGGAGTCGGAACTCATCTGCTTCGTGTTCTTCGAGGCAGATCGGCTGAGAATTAACATAATCCTCCAATAACCTTTACAAGTGTGAAAAGCTGATTCAGTGGTTAACGATCTGGGTAAACACCGCAATGTTCCTCTCAGATCCAGACCCTCTTGGATGGATGTCACGTCAGTGTTTGCAGCAACACAGACACTGCACTGGTCAGATGTGACACAGTCTCAGAGGACTGGCTCTCAGCTTACAAGTGCATGACATAAAAATAAATAAAAGTGACTGATAAGGTTTTTGTTATCTTGACATCCAGGAGATTCTCAAATAAATAATATTAATAAAAAAACAAAACAAAACACTCGCCCTTCACAGCAGAGGACCCGGGCAAAGTGAAACAGGCATCTGGTAAGACGCCCCCCAGAAAACTCCACCAGAAGGTGTTTTGGGCAAGCCCATCTGGAAGGAGACGCCAGGGCAGACCCAGGACACGGATCACATGTCCCACCTGACTTGAGATTGTTAGGCGTTCTCATGGAGGAGTTGGAAATGTAATGGGGAAAAGAGTGTCTCAGCTCTGCTGTGAAGACTGCAGCCCCCTCCCACATGACCCAGGCCTGGATGAGTGACTCTCCCCATCAGTCATGGCTGACAACATGGGGTCACTGGGGCCATGAGGAGGTAATAAGTTTGTCCGAGTCTGTCCTGTTTTAGCTGACAAACTGTGAATAAGACACTTTTGATGTCTTTTTAATTCTGTCAACTGTTCCTGCAACAGTTTGACTCAGTTGTTGTCTCGGTGTTTTATGTTTGTGTTATTAAATGTTCTTTCACGGGCAGTTATCTGTTCCAACCTTCTGTCTGGGATTGTGTTTTTTGTTCTGTGAAGCCCTTTGTGCATTGTCTCCGTGATCGCCAAATAAATAGACTTTATTTGGTGCCAGGACTTGGGATGTATATCAAGACATTCCTGATCAGATGAGATGGGAATTACTGGAGAACTTCAGGTCTCATCAAAGAGGACTTAGCCAAGCTGACAGTGGTGAAGTGGTGAAGCTACACGCTGTTGGAGAATTCCCCTCCTTTTACCCTGGGGCAGGGTAGGACAACTGACTGTCATTCACTTTCAGGCGAGAGAACAAAAAGAAGGATTGAGCCCAGCTGAAAGTTTTTACACCTCTGTTAAACAGCCCCGCTCTGAGGTGGTATTTACACGGCTGTGATACAAATACGGATCCGATAGAGACGAAACGCTGCCCAAAGTGGAAAAGTTTAAGAACTGCGGCTCTGTGTCTCCGTATGAACGGAGCAGGTTGAGACAATGTGGTCTCTAACCTCAGTCAACAACGGTGGATGTCAGGCTACTTCTGAGCGTGCTAGGACGGTTTATTCGGCTACTTGGTGTGCTACGGCTAATTATTTAACTTTTGCAGCGTCATCTTGTAATTCCCCAGCCTGGGATCAATTAAGTACATCTATCTATCTATGTATTTTGAGTAGCAATGATTTATTGAGAACACTATTCTGGAATGACACAGCGCCACATACAGGCCTGCCATATGTACTACAGGGACCAGAGAGGTATTCATCGGCTAAAGTTTGCATGGATCCTCCGTATGGTACCACAGCCGTCTAAGCAGGGCCAGTTTCTGTGCCTGTGAATCGACAAACTGTGACAGGTGAATATGGAACAGAGTGTTTTCTTTTGTGCACGTGTGCAATAAGGTGGTGCATGCCATGGACAGGTATAGTAAACTGAACAAGTAGATGCTGCAGAAGGAAGTGAAGACCCCAAAGAATGAACCGGAATTTTTCACCGTGGTCAAGTTTGTTATGTTGACATTACTTACATGTATGTAGTGTAACAAATCAAGTCATCTCCCCCGCTGGCTGTACTCTGCATAGTTACAAATGACAACTCACCTGTAGTGCCTTTATGGTAATACATTCATTTTTTGCGCTATTCTAAATGAACAGCTATGCTTAGCTTTGGGTTAAGTGTAGCTAAATGGGTCTAAATACTCCACAGTGGTGACAGTATTGGAGCAGGACTGTTTAAGAGCTTAAACACTGAAGTTAGTTCTAGGTTCTCAGTGAGCAGCAGCCCCTTTTCATTCATGCTGCCAGAGTCAAGGTATCTTTGAATGATCTGAACCTTTGAGTCTCTGTGGGATCTCCAGTCACATCCCTGACCAACACTTCTCAGTCCATATCAGAGAGTAAACCACGCTCTGAAGAACAAAAAGCTTCGGAAGTGGCTTTAAACCATGTCTTTATCGTCTATCGACTTCCTTAGCTGTGTTCTGCACAAACACATTCTCACGCTTATATAACACAGTGACATCGAGAAAATACTACTTTGTTTAATTCTTAAACTTTTGCGTGGACGTTGGTCTCCGCGGTTGAGACTTACCGCCAAACCGATGCACTCTGAGTGGCCTCTGTGCCACACCGAGCTCCTTCTTTATGCGCTTTGGTGCAGACAGACCCTGTGTTAGATCCTCTATGTTGCTGCTTCTATAAACACGTAACAGGAAAGAAAAGGAAAAGTTGAATCATTCATTTGACAACAACCACCCTGCAAATTTAACAACTATATTAGCTAACTTAAACCATGGTCTCTTTTTACAGTCTCTGACTATAACAATTATTCCACTGGTCTGGAAATGTAGACATCTTACCGTGTAAATTTACGCTTTCCTTGTGCAGCTGACGTCATGTCCATGTAGGACGGGGCGGCTTTTCTCACTTCTTGCAAAGTCAGAACCTGCTGTCTACAAAAACAGACAGAATTTTTTAAAAATGTAATTTAATGTAACTTCAGATTTTAGACTCTATGCAGTAATGAGGCCATAATGATGTATTTCAAACCATCTCAGAACGTTTGAACATTTGTTTTTGTGGTACACAAAAGGATCTACTGGCATGTTCTACATGAGCACTGGCTTTATTTTTGATTCATTTCAATGCACCTGCATTCACAAATTTGGATACGCAAATGTTGTTGTCTCTTCTCCAGGAAACACCCGGGTGGATGAACTTGGTCATTCAGCTCTAACATTGACTGCTTTGTTATCAAACACAGTTTGATACTGGTCTGTCTTTTGACCAATAAAAAGAAACATTTCACTCTTGACTTAAAGCTATTTTATCATCACCACGCACTACCAGACTAAAACACAGAGGGATTGTCTGGTTAGTTAAATTTGAGCCGGTGTTTCAGCTTCGGCCCATTAGATAAAACATTTTTTTAAACTTTTGTTTTGTTTCTCTTGTCAGATTAAAAATATCACGGTCCCTAATACTGTATATGTATTTGTTATGCCCATTTGGAGGCATTTCAAAATAATTGCATGTCCATTGATGACTTAAAAAGGGACAGTGATGAAGCACCCTAAGAAGTGAGCAAATGGCCTCCATTCATTTCCACACTCACACAATTAAAAGGAAAAGACAGAGTGAGGGGACTTTACAGCTCTGTTGTTATGTCAAAACAGCCAGCCTTACTTGTGAGCCTGGACTGAAAAAAAAAATTTAACCTAAATTCACAAGGAAGCAAAAGAACGGGAGTCTTGGCTAATAAAAAAAATAGGCCATGTGTGTCCTCAAGACCTAAATTCCATTGAGAATCTCGGGGAAGAAAATAAGGTCTGAAGAAGAGAAGACAGAGGAAGTGTCTGCTGAATTCTTCCATCGTCAACACTAAACCTTGGGAAAAAAAAAAAAAAAAAAAGGAATGCATGTCCAAAAATAAAAGTTGCGACACTGTGTTAGGTGATATACATTTGAGATGAGATAAAGAAATGAACATTGGACAGACGCTATGACACTGTTGTTTGAAAAGAGTTTGGAATCAGGCAGCATCACATGGATTATGAAGGGAACCAGTGAAGTGTGAAGGGTCAACAGGACGGTAATCCACACGAGAATCCAGTCCGACAGTGGACAGACATGTTTGGATACAGACGTTATAAAACTTGTAGGTCAAGGTTTTTTGAGAATTGGGTGTGTGAGCGCAGACGTTGGACAGAGGGACAGGGAAATTCATGTTCTAAATGCTGTATATGCAAGACATATATGTTAACATGCAAAAAGAAAAAATATTTTTTCTTTTCTCACCTTTTTGTAGCCATCTGCTTCGGCTCATTCAACTTTGGAGGAGGATGATGTACCTGGCCGCTAACAGAGAAATCCCTGGGTTTCGAGTTGTCACATGGACTAGTGCGGCCTAATATAATGGTGGCGTTACTTGTCGTCGGACTGTCATTTTCCGGAATTTCAAATGTCATGTTGGGATCGATTGAACTGGATGTGCATGAGGGCAGGGCTTGAACTGGTTTCTGAGCTGGTTCTGGTGTGCACGGGAGTGGGCACAGTCCCTCCCCCATCACTTGACCCTTAGCTGTGACCTGCGGACTTTGTGGTGGAAGTGATGCACACAGATTTCTCCTGATGGGCTTTCTGGTTTTTGGGTGCATTTGATTTTCTTCATCTAAAAATAAAAAGATAGAAATGTGTTAATTATTTTTTCTTCAAATAAGTCCACACCATTGGAGGAAAGCAGCTTTAAAACACATTTGGTGACCTGACATTTAGCTGAATATTTGTTGTAAATTAAACAATGAATAATTGTATGAAAGCACAAAAAAAATAATAAAATAAAATAATCAGGTGATAGTTTAAAGTCTGGATTATCAAACTTCAAATATATATAAATCAAATTTTTTTACATGCAAACATACAGTAGGATATGATATGATAATAGTGCTGGATGCACAATAAAGTCTTCAGATTGACGCCTAACAACTAGCACTGACACATATTTAAGCCTTATTTACTGTTGGCAGTATATGCGGTAAGCCACCTTTAATCTTCTAACAATAACTGCAAGAACAATTTAACCCTTTTAAGTAAGTACGTCATCAGTTCATCAACTATGCTTTCCATTATTAATAACCAGGGGTAAGAGCGGAAGTGCCGGTCAGCTCAAAAACGTGCCCTAAATAGTTGAGGTTCCGAGGATTTTTCCTGAGCATGTGATGGAGGACCACAGTGCATGTAGAGGGTGGAGCCTCAGTAGCCCTGCAGTGGACATGTGCTATGTCTATGTGAGTGAGGGACAGCGTACATATTCTCAAATGTAGAATATCTCCCCCAAACTATATTGCAATGTTTCCAACTTTTGACATTTCTGAAAAGATTGAAACAGCATTTTAACTTATTTAACACCATTGCTGTGTTGATCCCAGTACTGATTTTGGAATCGTGAGACTAGAGAACAGTATAGAACAGTGGGAACCATTTTCCTGGCTCTACCACTGCATCAAGAGCTCACAGTGGCGTCTGCATAGGAGAATGTAAACACTCTTTTACAACATGTAAACATTCGGGACTCTCGACTCCATTCCACCCTGCCTGCCTGCGTCCTCTTCTTCACCTTCTCTGTGCGCTGTTTATTGTTTTGAATTGTCCAGCCTAGATTCTCATCTTCCTTCATCTTATGTCCAACACAAGTCATTTTCAAATATCAAAAGCCTCATTTAAATAGTGCACAACATCAAACAACACAGTAAGTAAACTGTGATGAATTGTCCTGTGGCAGGAGTTGTAATATATAACAGCAGGATTGGTCCAGTCTCATATTTTTGGCTTGTAGGGGATTAATACATGCATGAGTTGCTATTTCTGGTGGTGGCTGCACTGAATTAGGGTCGCCTGGTTGCTTCTGCCTGTTTTTATAGTGAGCCTTTTCTGGTTGGTGGAGCAGGGGAGTTTACGTCTGTTGACGTTTTTCCCTGCCCTGCTGTGGATCTGCATTTTCATGAATGAAGCTCAAGAGGGATTGGGAGGGATAGATGCTAGACAGACAGAGAGAAGGGGAGGGGTGGAGGAATAGGAAAAGCCAGACGCACAGACATTTGAATCGAAAAGGAAAGCAAAATTCTGAAGAGGAAAAAATAAAGAAGGGGAAATAGGGGCTGGAAAGATCAAATGGGAATATAAAAAGAACAGCCTGGAGGAACGAGGGGAAGAAAGCTGAATGAAAAACTGTGAAGTTATTTTTAGAAGCATGCGTAGAGTGTGTGTGGACTGTGAGTCTAAGCAACATTGTGGAATGCTGAAATGTTACATCAAAAGAGATCACCTTTGTGTAGTGTGCTATTAATAAGCAGAGTCAAATGTTCTATCAAAATGCTCAAAACGTTCTCAGAAACAAATGAAATTTGATTGGCTTTAAAAGCCCTGGGTTGGGGCTGCTTTACATCACATGCTGCAGTGACTCCCATTAGGAGCTGGGGGGAAGCAGTAAGTGCCTGACAAACCACTGCAGGACAAGATCACAACACTTTGTCTGGATGTTTAGATGAGCCCACATTTAAATAAAACATCTGTGACAGAGTCTTGTTTTAAACGAATTCATCCCCCAAAATAAACAGCATTTGAGAACGGCTGTGGTTACTATAAGCACTAGTACTAGTATGACATGGACAGTGGTTTTAACCGATTAGAACTAGTTAGTGAGGATGAACATTCAAAAAGACAAAGTTGCAAATGTATATCAAATTATTTCTACAGAATTTTAGAACCTAACCTAAGATATTATTACAATTTAAAATTTAATAAGCAATTTCAAATTTAATTTAATAAGCATATTTATATGCTTAAAACAGAAGCAGGTGTGGCAATGTATCACCTGTGTTCACAACAGCATCACTCTACATATGCAGCATCAGCGCTATAATGTTTTTGCATGGCAATGTATCACCTGTGTTCACAACATCATCACTCTACATATGCAGCATCAGCCCTATAATGTTTTTGCATATATATATATGTATTAAAAAAATAATAATACAGTAACGTGTTTTTGAGTTTCATAAAAAAAAAAAAACAGTAACATGTTTTTGAGTTTCGTGACACTAAACATGGTTCTGTGGTTACCTAAGGACATTCTGCTGTGAAACAAAGTTATGTTCTTCACCAAAAACTGTTTTAGGGGTTGCTATGGTATTTGACTTTTCAAATTTCAAATTCAAATCGAGTCAAGTGATACAAAACAGCAATTGCTTCAATGCAATTGTAATTGTGCATGATGGCGAGATAACAAACACCTGCCTTCACGTGATCAATGTAAAGGGTCAGAAGGGCAAAGAGACGGCAGATAGTCGATGTAGGGATGACTGAAAAATGTCTGGATATAAAAAGCATAACTCATAAGAGTATGACGTAATATTTAACAGTGGTGACAAACTCTCTGGAGCTTGCAAAAAAAAAAAATTTGCGTCATCTGGAAGACGCATTTTCTTTAAAACGTTACATTTCCCACATTATGTTTCAGTGAAATGTAGACCACCTGTGGTAAATATCATTACAGTCAATTTGAACGGCAATATTTCACAAAGGCTTTCGCATTATATTTCCCCAAAGGTTTCCCGTGCAGAGATCTCTCTCTCTATTAAACTGGTTGTGAGTATTCACATAATGTTATTATTCAAGATTCGGCTGGAGCTGGGTGTCTGCAGCTAGGCTATAAATCACATTATATTACACGTCTGATTTTTTATTGGGTATTTGACTACCCCGAACAAGTCGTTTTAGCTCAAATGCTACAAATGTGTTCAGCGAAAATAAAAAAGCAACAGGGCAAGAGTGAGAAATCAGTGTGAGGTGGAGGAATTTCACATTGTGTAGCTCATTAAAAACAAATTTGATGCGTGTGTTCTGCTTTAATGAAATCTAGCGACGTCTCTTGAAGTGTGTTTGCGCAAGCTTGATGGATCTAGTGAAAGTGACAAATAAGTGAATGATTGAGGGGTGGGAGGGGACTCGCAGGAATGAAGGGCTTTAGATTAATGACTACAGTATGGCAGTCAGATGGAGAAGAGAGAAGTCTTTTACCTTTACAGGACGGAGCCGCTTTACTCAACAATGTCCTTGTGGTTTTTCTCTCTGCACCTTAGGAACAATGATTATATGCTAATTAGTAAACAACACACAGAGGTAGAAATGCATTGAATTTAAATAAAGAAAAAAACAAACGCAAGGCTTGAACTCCACCAAGAGATTTTTTTTATACTTCTGAAGGATTCTTTTACACTTGAACATTTTGTAGAGTTACTATATTATTTCCATCAGTGAATTCCACCAACAACAGTGAAATATGAGATGATTTTAAACAGTATGAACTGGACGGACAGGTGCAGTTTACTATTTGACAAATGACGGACAGCACCTCGGTATTGTCGCCCAGCTTTGGTTCATGCTCCACTGTCTGTCATGGCTTGGATGTCATGAGGGACTGTTGCTGCCAGGTCATGCAGAGATGACAGTTAAAAATGAACAGTGCTTTGTGCGACCTCATGGGATCCACAATACACACCAGGCCTGGACGGGAGCCAGATACACGGTCCCTCATTAAACTACCTTACAGGACACCTGACTAGTGTTTCAAACTAATCACATAAATCTTAAATGCAGGTGTCACGATGACATGTATTAGTGTCATATTTTAGGCTTTTTCAAATTCCAAAAACCGTGGACAAGACAACACGATTATATCAAAGAACATAGTGTTCTGTTTTGTAGCCCTCCTGTAGCGTTTTATTTGAGAAAAACAGATCTCGCTAGGTTTGTACTTTTTTTTGGGAAACCAATCACAGCAAGTTAACAGGTCGAGACTAAGACTAGAAACGACACGTGCATCAGCATCGTGTCAATATGTACTGACCGTGAACCTGCGTCTCTGTCTCTTTAGAATTTTGAAGTCCGTGTGTTTTTGTTCCAGCAATCAAAAGTTGATCACAGATTCTTAGTCACGAGTTCACCAGTTTCATTATGCCATATAGCTTCAGTATGGTAGAAACATGAGTCATGTGAATTATTTTAGATGCACGAAATCTTGGAAACCTCTATATTTGCTGCCACTGTTTCAACATTTTTCCAGTGTACCGTGTGTTCATTCTTGTACACAGAGGTGATGTTTACAAGCAAGGAATTATTTGAATGCAATTTGACTTTTTAACTTGGTATTCCGTATATATGGACACACATATTTACAGTGAGATTACGTTCCTCCTCTTTTTTTTTTTTTAATCACCGCAACTTTTACTTGAGCATTTAAGTCAAGAAAGAATTAAACCTACAACTTAACTCTAAATCATTTTATCAAGGAAAGATAAAGGACGTTCGCCACATTATACTGACATTACCCACTTTCCTCTGTTCACCATTATACACTTCCATGTTACAGACTATCACTCTGACAAAGTAGGCAGTTTTAGGACATCGGTGTTGGTGCAGGCACAATGTGACCTAATTCTGCAAGATTTCACTGGTTTTGTAATTAATCCCAAACAAAACATTTGAATACATGCTGAATGGACAAGTAAGGGATAAAAAGAGAATGTATGAGAACTTACTGCAGGGGCTATTTTGGTGGTAAAGCACATGTGAGAAAGACAGCAGAGGTGCCAGCTCGCTGTGCAGCCCTGTGCTTCCCTCATTTTTCTTCTGTGCATCCACTCTAGTCTCTTCACCTTTCAGCTGTCCCATCCCATCCTGGTCTGCCCAGACCACACCTCTCTCCCTCAATACAAGGTGTTCTAGTTCATGGTTTTGTTTTTCATCTGCTGCAGTGACCAGCCCTGCCCCGAGCAGAGAAGAGTAGTGCCGACTATATGCCGGCAGCAAAATGCCCATCATTCTGAAATGCAACAGAGAGTAATTAAAAAAGAAAAAATCAGGCAAAGTGGATTTAAGAACATGGTAGCGTTCCCAAAGGGATTTAAATTTGGGAGTATATTCAACCTACTTCTGTATGCGCTTGTTCTCCTGATCCTGCAGTGTAGTGAGCACCACCATCTGCTTGATTTGCTGTTGGAGATCACTGACCTGCAGCTCTAGTCTGTGGCAGTGTAGTTCCTTATCTAACACCTTAACAAGCAAAGAAAGTGAGAACACAGAGTGTTAACGAGGCCAATGTTTCTGAGAAGTAGAACTTAGGAGGGCAGCATTTCAACAAAAACAAAGAGATGTTGAAATAGCATTTCAGGTTAGTTGCTTTAAGATGTTAATTCTGTTTTTTATCAGATTCTTCAGTCAGGTTGTCCACTAATACGTTGGGAGGGAGGGGGAATTGTGACGTAAAGAAACTATAAAACAACAGCAGAGGGAGAACATTTGACCGGTAGGTGCGTCATAGTTCTGGGTCAGTTCCTGGAAGAAAGGATTCAAAAGAAAAAAAAAATAACAGGGACATGGCTTAAGGTAACTGGCTGCTGTGTGAGGGTTGAGTAAATGGTATTGATTTATTCTCTTTAGTGAACCATGAGTGAGCTGAAGAAATAAAATGAGCACAGTTCTAATTATTGGGAGAACAGATGGGAAGAAAACAAAGACAGTCACGACACCAGTGGAGGCACAGCCTACTTTCCAAAATAAACAAACAAACAAATAAAAAAAAAAAAAACAAGAAGTAAATTATTATGACACTGTTGGGTTCATCCTCTTCAGCCAAAGATCATCACCGCTC